GCAAACGCTGATATCATGCCTATAGGATACACTTGATATCATCAAGGCAAATGGGGGGCCATCGACAAGCCGCTGCCTTTCTGTCCTCATCGAGGCCACGAGGGTTTGTGTCCCTCAGGTAAATTAGGTAAATCAGATATGTTAAACCAAGGGATAAAACCACCAGGTTCTGCATAAATAGGATTCTCTCCGGTGGTTATCCAGCATCATGATTCTGGCAGGACTCTCTGCAGTGGATATCCAACTTCCTGATTCAGACAAGACTCTCTCCAGTGGATATCCAACATCCTGAATCAAGCAGGACTCTCTCCAGTGGATATCCAACATCCTGATTCAAGCAAGACTCTCTCTAGTCGATATCCAACATTATGATTCAGGCCGGACTCTGCAGTGGATATCAAACATCCTGATTCAGGCCGGACTCTCTACAGAGGATATCTAACATCCTGATGACATTGCAGAGAGAGAAGTTGTCTACACAGTGATTGGATGTTGTGATATAGTGTATGCTTGAAGATTTAAAATAATATCTACATATATAACGAACAAAGAAATTTTTTATATCCATTTATTATTAAGCTCATTATAATTATTATTAATTGCTCATCAACTTATTTTTCTTAATGATATGTTGAGAAAACATGATGATATATTTGATATTTGAATTGGCTGTATCTCGGTAAATATGTGTGTAAAAGCCTTCATATTGAAAAATAGCAAAGAAAGAGTTTACAGAAAGAAACATCAAAGATTACGGTAAATCTAATGGTAGCATTTTCAAAACGATTCTATGGCTGGTTTTGATTTTGAGTTTTGCGAAAAATGACGATTTCGCCGAGGCGGCGATTCTTGCCCGGCAGCTGGGCTTGGCGCCATCTTTTGGTAATTACTAACTCACTTCCTTGACGGCTGAGCTGTGTGGCCGTCATGTCTTTGAAGGCTTTTAAACACATATGCTTACTTTTATCTTTTGGTCCGATTTTTATTACTTGACCTAATCATTGACCATATATATACTAATACAAAATAAGATAATGTATTACTTATAATAAAGTAAGTTTTTGTGAGAAAATATCTGGTAATCTATGTAATGCATTATATAGAGCTGCAATATTTATTCTTTTTTATATGTTTTAATCATTTATATAAGAGTCCATTTCCGCTCTTCTTTTTTTTTTTTTTTTTTTTTTTTTACAAAAGTCCTTCTATTGATGTTCTGCAACCTGAAGACAATGAAGGCATATCGTAAAGCTGTTGATATCCTGCAATGTGCATACTGTAGGAGGTCCTTGCATCTAAAGATATCTACTTTTTTATATAGTTCTGATATGTTTCGCCTCTTTGGGGCTCCTTATATCTTGGTTACATCCGCTGTATTCCTTCGTGGGTATTCTACATCCTGATGATAAGTTAGGATACTCTTCATCCTTAGATATCCAATATGTCTGATAATGAGGGTCAAGTTTCTCATCTGTGGACATCCAATATCCTGATTCAGGCAGGACTCTCTCCAGAGGATATCCAACATTTTGATTAAGGCAGAACTCTCTCCAGTGGATATGCAACGTCCTGATTCCGGTAGGACTATCTCCAGTGGATATCCAACATCCTGATTCAGATAGGACTCTCTCCAGTGGATATCGAACATCCTGATTCAGTCAGGACTCTCCAGGGGATTTCCAACATCCTTATTCTGGAAGGACTCTCTAGATGATATCCAACATTCAGGCAGCTTTCTTCAATGGATATTCGATATCCTGATGACATTGCCGACAAAGGCGTTTTCTACACAGTGATTGGCTTGAATAACAAATAATATTTTCATAAATGACGAACAAAGAAAAGCGTACTTTTTAAATATCCATTTATTAAGCTCATTATAATTATTATTACCTGCTCATCAACTCATTTTTCTTAAAAAAAATATGTTTGGAAAAGTTAATAGTGTTTGATATTTGTATTGGCTGAATCTCGGTAAATATGTGTGTAAAAGCCTTCATATTGAATATTAGCAAAGAAAGAGTTAAAAGAGGGAAACGTTATGGTAGTGCGTTAAAGCCAATGGTAATATTTTTAAAACGATTCAATGGCAGGTTTAGATTTAGATTTTTGTTCAAATATGACGATTTCGCCAAGGTGGCAATTCTTCCCTGGCTGTTATGGAAAACCATCTCTAATATCCTAGGATCTAAACAACAATCACATAACATGCAGATCAATCTCTCTTAGAATGGTTACACACTTGCAACAGACTTAAAAACTGCAACTGAATTTAATATCTTCTTTTATTAATCGGTGCTAACCTTGGGAGATAAATCTCAGAGACTCAGACACATGTTGCTCCACACATCTCACCAGCAGCTATCCTAACTCTACTCTTTTTACCAGTCAGCCCGACAGACATTATATCCATAATTCAACTTCTGTGAAATACCATCTATGGTATATAAATGTGTTGCCCCTGCTCTTGCACTACCCATAGCTCTGCTATTCAATATATCTCTAGTGTATCATACTTTTTTTTATATACTGAAAAAAGCGAGAGTAATGACATTTCATAACGGAGGGGAGACGGCTGGCATTGTAACACTGTAAAAGTGTTTGAGTTAGTTTATTTAAAATATATATAGAGTACATGAGTCACAGACAAGGATCTGAGAGGCGCCAGTTGTCTGCCTGAGATCTCACACCTCAAAGCGTTAATGACCTCAAGTGACCTGAGGTCAGATCATGAGAATTTCACCTTGCTTCCGCTAAGCTCTTAATTGTAGTCTGGTAGCCTTCAAACAAGCCGACGTTTAAGGAGTGGCTTGGTAGTGCCGGAGGCTATCTATTTGTGGGCGGAGTTAGCTACTAGGTTCCCCAATATAAACTCGGAGAACTATCCAGAAAGGAGCATTAATCAAGAGAACGGCCGACAGCCTCCCTGCTCTGCTCGTCTGCTGTTCTCTTGATTAATGCTCCTTTCTGGATAGTTCTCCGAGTTTATATTGGGGAACCTAGTAGCTAACTCCGCCCACAAATAGATAGCCTCCGGCACTACCAAGCCACTCCTTAAACGTCGGCTTGTTTGAAGGCTACCAGACTACAATTAAGAGCTTAGCGGAAGCAAGGTGAAATTCTCATGATCTGACCTCAGGTCACTTGAGGTCATTAACGCTTTGAGGTGTGAGATCTCAGGCAGACAACTGGCGCCTCTCAGATCCTTGTCTGTGACTCATGTACTCTATATATATTTTAAATAAACTAACTCAAACACTTTTACAGTGTTACAGCATAAACAATTACAGACCAATATAAAATCTACTTGTACTTTAACAAATATTTGAAAAAATTGCTTACAAACATCTATTCCTACCTCAACATATTAAGTCCCTGCCAATTTGGCTTCCGTTCCCAAAGGAGTACCAATGATCCCATTATTAGTTTGTTTAATATAATCTACACAGCCCTTGACAAAAATGAGTTCCCAATTGGCCTTTTCATTGAGCTGAGAAAGGCCTTTGATACTGTAAACCATAGCTACTTCTTACTTAAACTTAACCACTATGGCATCCGAGGCCTTGTTCTGAACTATATTCGCTCCTGTCTCATTGACAGACACCAATATGTAGCCATCCATAACATAACCTCCCCCACTTAACCATTAACAGTAAGAATGCCACAGGGCAGCATCTTAGGACCTCTCCTATTTCATGTATACATCAATGATTTGCCAAATGTTTATAACATTCTTAAACCTATACTATTTGCTGAGATACTACCTTCATCTATTCTGACCTCAACCCCAACACTAAATAATATTGTAAATAATGAATTAAAAAAAGTCCACACATGAATGTCAACCAACAAACTTACACTAAACATCAAAAAGACCTACTTCATTTTATTTGGGGACTAAATCATCAAATCAAATTCAATTTCAGATAGACAATGTTAACTTTAGCAATAAAAATGAGGGAAAGTTCCTTGGCCTATACATAGACAAAAGACTCAACTTCAGCACCCACATAAAACACATAGCCAAAAAAGTATAAAAAATGGTCGGTATACTCTCTAAAATTAGATATTATGTTCTCCACTCTGCTCTATTCTCATTATACTATGCGCTAACCCTATCCCTATCTTACATACGGTATCTGTCCATGGGGTTCAACCACTATGAATTGCTTCAAGCCCATCCTCACTCTGCAAAAATCTGCTATATCAAAACTCTGTCTTCAGATAACACACAGCCCCTCTGTTTAAGTCCCATAACATGCTAAACATACATCACTCCACACAATCTTATGTGCTATTTGCAATGTACAAAATCTTGTTCCTAAATGCTAATCTTGATTTGAAACTTTTCCTTGAGAGGTGTAATAGAACCCATGAGCACCACACCAGAAATAAATATCTTTTTGATAATCCCAGTCAAACTAAATCTGTGAAAACACTCCATGCAAATATAAGGATTCATTCTATGGAACTCACTCCCTAACAAATTACAAACATGTCCAAACTATGCCTCATTCTAAAGTAAAACCAAAAAGTACCTGATTTCATCCTCATAGTTTCCTACCTTGTGCTTAAACTCATACTGTATCTTGTACTACCCAATTCCCAAAATATTAGTACTTACCACATACATATTCACCTGTGTAATCCCCTCTGTCAATTTATATTATAGTTATATGTTGATATAAAATTTTGCTACAATGTACCTTTTCAGCTAACCTGATATGTTTGATTAAGGACCTGCCTGAAATGCTATGCATGTTAGTGGCTATTCAAGAATGTAAAAATACCAATCTTATGTAATCTCACCATTGTACCTTCTTGTGAATTTAGATTATTATTATTTGATTAGTGTTCCAACTCTAGTTGGAATACTTAAAGTTCTCTATGAACCATGCATAAATGAGTACAGTATATGTTAATCATAGGAAAATTAATTTAAAGACTAATATATTTTATGTTGGCGACCAAATCAGTATAAAAGGTTAAGAACCAAGACCTTATCATAATCATTTTATTTGGAAGAATTTAAAAGCAGTAAATTACAAAATAAAATTTACAACACTAGAATATTAGATAATATCGACTAAACCAAACTACAATTTTGGTTCAAACAAGGAATTTATTTTACAGTTTTTAACTAATGGAATAAAACATTAGTTAACTCTACAGAACATGGAATAAAATGTCAGAACGATACAACACAACAGGAGAAATTCCAACAAAAAATTAATTATTATATAGTAATAATACCACCACTTGACTCTGTATTGTTATTTAGCTTGCTGTCTTGCACAAACCTAGAAAAGCATACAAAATTATAATACAAACATCATTGCACATGGCACTATGAAGTTAATTAGCTTGATAGTATAAAATTAATCAAGGAAAATAGAATATTACTCCAATGAAAGCATGATACCACAAGGTTAGCCTCTCTCCTTCTGGGAACATCAAAAACTTCATACACTATAACAATTAGAAAGCACCTATATACATTTTGAATGTAGCACAATATACTTAAGGTTAGACAGGTGTGGGCACACACATTAAGATGATCTCCAATAACCAGTAATTATATACACCACAATAAGCTCTGCAAATCACTGCCTCCTGTGTTCTGCCCATCCACACATACTCCTTTTTGGATCAGATTGTGTTCCAACAATATTTTCATTATTTAATTAATGATATCCTATTTACAATATAGAATTCTAATTCTAATTTTTCATTGCCAAAAATTCACTTTATGCAATTTAATTCCTGAGACCTGGAACGTCAAGAACAAGAGGTCATAGATTTAAATTAACTGAACAAAGCTGCCAAGGAAATATACAGTACCAAACAGATAAATCTGATTTACCTGAAGGCCACTAACCCTAATGGTCTTGAAGAGGACAGGAAGCCAGTGGCTTGTCAAACGTCCTCACATTTGCCTTGATGATCTTTTCCACATAGATTTTAAAACTTAACAGTTTTGGCTTTTACGGCTTCGGCAGATAGGCAGTTCCAGAGGTTTATAACCCTGTGGGTGAAAAAGCATATTCACTTCTCTAATAAAAGCACAGTTCACTAAAATCACTTCACTAAAATACATATTCACTTCACTTCAATAGCATAGACAATTAACTATCACAGAGTAGAAGGTTGGAACAAATTAAGCGAGAAAGTGGTTTAGGATAAAACCATCAGTAGTTTCAAAGTGTTGTTTGACAAAGAGTGCTATGAGTGTAACTCTAATCCTGTAACAAGTGCCTGACTTGTACACATTTACAGGCCTCAACCTCATTAGACTAGATGGCAAGTACAAACAGCAACATCCTTTTCATTTGAAAGATTTCATACAAAAGTGAAATCTTTCAAGTGAAATGTGTGTGAAAGCCCTAACAACTGAGAGTCTTATGAATATGGTAGTCTATATTACTACCATGGTAGTAATATGGTAGTCTAGGGGCATGTTAATTATATGGGTCCCATAACTCATGTTGCTATTCTCCTAGTGATTCTTTTTTTCATAGAGATACAGTTAGATGACAGTCTCCTTGGTATAGTGGTAAGATGTTGGCCTGGCGTTCCGTGAACGCTTTGTCCTGGGTTAGTATCCTGGCCGGGAAAGATTTACTGGGTGCAAATCCTTAACTGTGGCCTCTGTTTAACCAAACAGTAAAATGGGTACCTGGTTGTTAAAACGATTCTTCACGGGGGTCGTATTCCGGGAACCATAGGATTAAGGACTTGCTCGAAACGCTACGCATACTAGTGGCTGTACAAGAATATAACAACTCTTGAATATATAAATAAATAAATACATAAATAAAAAAAATTACCATGTACTGTGCATAATGTGGTGTTAAGAATTTCAATGTGCTAGGAAATGTGGGTGCAAGAGTAAGGAGATTGTGGGTACCTAGCAGGGATTCATTCTAGTGATATTTATATTTAATTCCCCAGGAATATATTTAGCTATGTAACCGATGACTTTTTTGGTGACCACTGTCTGCTCATTAACTAAAAGTATTTTAAGTATTGTAGTGTAACTATTGAAGTATTCCAGAATGATTTCTGAAACATAATTACTTACTCATTAATGATGTAACTTAGTTGCTTTCCCAATTCCAGTAATAACTAGGAATTATGAACATGGAAAAAAGCCTGGCTGACTGATTTAACAATTCTCAGAGGATAAACATGGATACAAAAAGCTCATTTATGTGATAATTAAAAGAATACTTCTAGTTACAGTGAGTGGATGGTGACCTTGTATAGAGAGAGCTGTCTAGTAAGTTCTACAATACTCCTAGTTACAGTGAATAGTGAGTAGTATGCAGTGGGAAGTGACATGCAAGTTCTATACAATAATTAACATCTATAATTACACTTTATTCTATATATAATAATTAATACAGTAATAATAAATATTGCATTATTCACATCGATCAAAGCAAAAAATTAAACAACTAATCACATCAAAACAGGTCACAATACAGTATTCCTACATTTACACAGCATGATCAAAGACCAAGCTGTGGGGGACGTTGGACCTTGGAATTCCCACAAGGTATGTTACCTTGAGGTTACCCAGAGATGGTTTCGGAGCTTAGCGTCCCCACGGCTCGGTCCTCAACCTGGCCTCCTCATTGCTGGACTGGTCAACCAGGCTGTTAGATGCAGCTGCTCGCAGCCTGACGTATGAGTCACAGCCTGGTTGATCAGGTATCCTTTGGAGGTACAGTATATATATATATAATCCCGGAATCTAGGTAAATTAAATGCTGGTCATCCTAATATAAATTCCTGTAATTTATATAAGTAATGAGACTAGAAAACATAAAAGTAACTTTGATATGTCTTATCAAAAGTTATAAAAACCCATAGAATATTAATTTTAAATCAATTGGAGTAAGAGCACTGATGAGTTTCTATTTGCTGAATAAAAAATGCCCATGAAATTTGTTTCAATAAAATGGTCTCATCTTGAGTATAGCTCAAACTTTCTACTCCCTGCCCCAATATTTATTAAATTTTCTTATCAAAATAGAATGTCCTAAACATAGCTATCAGAAACTATATTAAATTTAAAATATATTTCTTAATGGAATCTAAATAGAAAGTACATTATCTATAAAATAAATATGGATTTTTTTTTTTATTAACTTTGTTTCATCTTACTGGGTAAAAGAAATATATAGAGTAATAATGCTTGTTATTGGCCTATTTTTGAGTTTTCTGTATTGGTAGGTTTTCCTGGTGCTTGCATGGCCTATGAGGTGAATCTAACTTCATAGAATCTGCCCAAAATCTGCGTATGTGTTAGTGGCTTTGCATGAATGTAAAAAACACAATTGTTATGTACTTTCACAATCCCATGTACCTTCTTGTATATAAATAAATAAATTATATAAATAAATAAATAACTTCTACACTCACAGCATCCATGGTACTTGTTTGGTCTATGAGGGACATCTAATTTCTACAAAAGAGAAGATTAAGCTTAAATACAGGTTATGTTAACAAGGTCTTTATAGTACATCCAACTGATAATGTGATGTTATCTCGTGCAATACTACCAAAATGAGCAACATGTAAGATTTATTAAACACACACGCACTGGTACTATTTAAAATTAAAATGGTTACAGACACAATTTTCCTCAAAACAAGACACCAGGCCAAGTGAGTCTTATTATTTGACTGAATGCGCTAATAAATGCCTTTTCATATTACATTGATCCCTAAATCTCTTCTCACACTCTGGACACTCATAAGGCTTATCATCTGTATGCACCATATTATGAATCTTCATATTACCAAGACGACTGACTCTTTTTCCCACATTCTGGACACTCATGAGGCTTGTCACCTGTATGCAGTAACATGACTTATTATACTGCTACGGTGTCCAAATTTTCTCCCACACTCAGCACATTCTAAAGGTTTATTGCCTGTAGGCCCCCATTCTGTGAGTCTTCATAGTTCCATTATGTTTTAATTTTTTCCCACACTCTGGACACTCATGAAGTTTCTCACTTATGTGTATGAGCAAGTGTGTCTTCATATGTCCAAGATGACTAAATGCCTTCCCACACTCTGGCCACTTATGAGGTTCATCCTTGGTATGTACCATTCTGTGCGATTTCAAATGTCCAACACGATTTAATTTTTTCCCACACTGGACACTCGTGAGATTTATTACCCATGTGTACCAGCATGTGAGTCTTTGTGTCCTAACTGAGTGACACTCTGAACTTTCGTGAGGTTTATCACCAACATGCACCATCCTATGAGTCTTCATAGTTCCAAGTTGACTGAATTTTTTCCCACACACTGGAAACTCATGATTTATCGATATTATTTATGATGGTACAGTTTGTGTGAAAGTTATCTCTCATGAATTAAATAATAGTTATCTATTATTAGTTTAATAATTGTTAGCCGAGCTAAAGGTTAGCTCAGGTTGAGGTAGAATAGAATAGATTAGGTTAGATTTGTATAGAGTAGAGATAACGTGGCTGGGTCAAGCATTATGCAGCTCTTAGACCTTACTCTCTCCTAAAGACACATCATTGCAACTGACTAGTATAATTAAGCCTGCGTGCAGTCTCATGCATGGTGATTGAAGGCTATCTCCTCTCGATGACAACAGTTATTTTGTGATATGGGGCATCTCAACAAATACAAATACTTGTACAAACAACAAATACAAATATTTATTCAGGTAAAGTACATACATACAAGGTAAAATACAAAAGTTGATGGATTTATAGATAGAGCTAGTACATACAATGCCCTGAAGACAGCACTGCTTATGGCTAGAATAATTAGACTTGGGTATTGCCTTATACTTCATATGCTAAAGTTATCTCCTAACGATGACTGCAGGAGTTTTCTTCCAATGTACAGCGATTCTTCTTGATAGTAGGTGCAGTTTGCATGAAGGGTTTATCAACTAAATACTTGTCGGTAAAAGCTGTTGTTGTTGTGATTACTTAGGACGTATACATTCCTGTAGTAAACTTTACATTTTCTTTTGATGGCACTTTTGGGTAAACTATAATATTTAGTAGCTCATCATTTGCATAATTCTCGTTGTTGGAGAGAAGCGGTTTTCAAGGGAAGTTCACGGGAAAGGAAACAGTAGGACAAAGAGTAGGCTGCATCAGACAGAAATTATGGTCCCCTGGTATAGATAGCTCTCTCTATAAATCCAACATTATGTTTGTAACTCATGTTCTAGGTATGTACTTTTACCTGAATAAACATTTGATTTGATTTGGTAAACCAGTCCTGGGTTCGTATCCTTGCCGGAGAGGATTGACTGCGCGCCAATCCTTAAATGTAGCGTCTGTTCACACAGTAGTGAATGGGTACCTGTTTTGTTAATCGATTTGGCTGATCATATTCCGGGGAAAAGTAGGATTAATGACCTGCCCGAAACGTGATGCGTGCTGGTGGCCTTACAAAAAATGTAATAACGCTTGTATATATGTATATATATATATATATATATATATATATATATATATATATATATATATATATATATATATATATATATATATATATATATATATATATATATATATATATATATATATATATATATATATATATATATATATATATATCAACTAAATACATATATATATATATATATATATATATATATATATATATATATATATATATATATATATATATATATATATATATATATATATATATATATATATATATATATATATATATATATATATATATATATATATATATATATATATATATATATATATATATATATATATATATATATATATATATATATATATATATATATATATATATATATATATATATAAAATTAAACTTCGACCCTGATGGAGACCTCTGTGTAAGCCTAACATGTATACATACACTTGTTGACTGTCCCCCTGACTAAATTTATTATTAAAAATAGAATCCATTTTCTTTAACAATATATCATAGAAAACGTTTATTGACAACTAAAAATGTTTTTTTGTGTGATTTTAATTTTTTCTAAGTATTTACTATACAAAAACTTTCTCTGGCAACTTAAAACCTTTCATTGGAAACTAAAATATAAATACATAATAGTTTTTTATGTGAACAATAATTTTTGTTAGCATAGTTATTAATAACCTTCATATAACAGTATAATAATGACAAATTAAAAATAAAGAAAAAATGAAAAGAAAAACTGAATAAATAAATGAAAGATAAATAAAACAAGCATATCCTATACGTACTGCAGTTGGGAATTACGATATATAGTTTACCCGAGAGCCACGTATTAACACTAGTGGCCTCGACGAGGAAAGGAAGCCGGCGGCTTGTCGTAGGTCCCTCCATTTGCCCTGGTGATCTTTTCCAGCTGGATTTTTTTTTTTTTTTTTTTTACACATTTCAGACAATGAAGGGAAGGGAATTGTTAGAAGAAAGCGCCAAGCCATTACGGCTATATAGCATTGGGAAAGGGTCAGGATAAGGATTTGGGATGGGACGAGGGAAGGAATGGTGCCCAAATACTTCTGGACGGTGGGGGGATTGAACGCCGACCTGCATGAAGCGAGACCGTCGCTCTACCGTCCAGCCCAAGTGGTTGGATGAGCTACTGATGAAATCTTGTTCACTCACATCAGATAATTCTGGATTAGAAAAAAAAGATAAAGGACCTACCCGAAACGCTATGCATGTTAATGGCTTTACAAGAATGTAAAAACATCAATGCTATGTACTCTCATTAACCCACTGTACCTTCTTGTAAATAAATAAATAAATAATAAATAAATACAATAATATTTCTTTGATGTAAAAAAGCTTAGATGTGAAGTAACTCTTCATTAATTATTCCTTTGGTAAAATATATTACGTTTAAATACATATCATTGAGGTTCATTCATGTATAGACAGTTATAAAACAACTTTTTGCTTCAAATATTTTATTTTAAATGACAATAAATTAAGTAAGGTATTTCTATCATTACGTTGATAAAGTTGTAGAATCAATTCAATTTCTTTCTTTATTATGCACCCAATCAACAGGATAACGAGTGATTGAATGGAGTCTCATTTGTTGTTGTTGTTAAAGATTTGCTACCTGAAACAAAAAGTTCCAAGTAGCACGGGCTAAGGTGAGCCCGTATTTTATGAGTTTCATTTGTTTTCTTAGTGCTTATAACAATCCTTCATGCGCTCATACCTCCCCCTACCAACTTCTTCTGCTTTGCTTATTTAGGTTCATACTTCTTGATGCAAATAATAATTTTTACTGATTATTGTATTAATTAATCATAAAAAATTTAAATAAAGTGTAATATTGCCATCAGCATAATTCAAATTTCACAAAAAACAAGATTATAACATAGTATTATAACAGTGTTATCAAAACGCTTTATAAAAGTATATATAAATTGTAACAGATAATAAACTTAAAAAAATAAAGGCATTGCAGGCTTACTATAGCCCGAGTTACATGGAACATTTTGTTCCAGGTAGCGAATCTTTTTAACAACATAAATTAAAATCCGCAGAAAAGTAATGTATCATTGCCAAACATAATAAATAACATGAGTAAACAAAGGAAAAAAAGCAAAATTTCAGTGTTTAAGGAAGGTAGCTTTCAACAATCTTTGTAACTCATTTTGAATATATGTACTTTTACCTGAATAAACATTATTATTATTATTATATAATATTAAGTTTGGCAGCTGCTGGGTTTGGTCCCCTGGTAGGCTTCACATACCGCTGTTCGCAGATCTTCCTGGGCAGCAGTCAGTTGCTCTCTTGTGAATTTCTGTATAAAATGTGATTAAAATATCTGTTTAGTTATGTGATTTAAGTACTTCACGCTTCAGCTGAATGGTTGCTTAATTCTCACACTTTACCTACTAAAGCTATAGAGTTAGCAAAATGAATAAAAATTATATTATATAAGTTCAAATGAGCAGTTAATTTTGCTGCGAGTACAAAATAGTTGAAGAGTAGTTTAAGTTTAATCTACCACAGTCATACTAATATTAAGATAAAAACAATGAAATTCAAAGTTAAAATATTATTAATATTATCCCCGTATTAAAATAAAAATATCAGTGTTTAAGAGAACACTGTCACCTTCATATAGTTATCAGCAATAATAATGTTCTTACCTGACAGACACCTGGTGTTCATCTCAATATATTTTCTGTATAATAACAAAAATTAAAATCTTTCCTATTCCTCGGGGGGAAAAAATTGCACATAATATACGACATGATCAACAATCTTTCGAATCGTTGATCAGAGAATTGTCTGTTGCCTGGTGTAAGATAGACATGAAGGAACGTGATGAGCAAAGAATTTCAGGTCCTTAATTCACTTTTTTTTTTTGAAGGGATATTCCTGCGCGGGCCCTAAGCCTCTGGCTGACCCACTAAGTGTTGCTTGTTTCTGCTTTACTTGGGCGGAGTATGAGTATTTATGAGTCGTATGGTCGCTTCAGTAAGATTTTGCCCCATGTGTTTAACAACTTCTGCTCTGTTGAATCTAAGTTGAAATCTTAATGGGTTTGTAACTGTGCATTGTGTTAGATAATGTTTCAGTGGCCTTTTAATTCACTTGAGTAACAAACTTGAGAATATTGTTTTTGGGCTATAGTTAAAGGTAACTATAGTTACCTGTAAAGGTAACTATAGTTACCTTTATAGTATTACCTAATACTATAAAGGTAACTGGTGAGTTTACCTCACGTAACCCCAAGCTGAGAGTCTCTCATCATCCCTAATATTTTGTTTAGTTGATTTCTTTCAAAATCTGCAAATATTGCTTCGATGAAAAATATGATGGTCGATGTCATGCTTTTTAGTTGGGAGTTCGCAGCAAGAGTTCTATGCCTTTTATTTTTTTAATATTGGGACCATGTTACCGTCTCTCCTGCCAGTATTTATATACCTATATGGGTAGCGATATACCTGTTCTCATTAATTTATTAAATATTTGAGTTAGTGGCCAACTGAGCTCCGCCTTGCTTTCTTTGAGGACACGTCTGAATACCTCATCAGTAAAGAGATATAGAGTTTGTTTTAAATAGTAAGTAATATATCTTATTCGATCCAAATAAATGGAACGACATGTGGAAGAGACTCAGCGAACATATGATGTGTTATAAACACAAGAAAACATTGAGAATATATTATAGGTCCACAAATGTTTACATTTTCTACCGAAGAAAAATATATATATATATTCAGAGAGGATTGGCGAAATTTAGGCTCACGTCTTAAGGAGGGATTAGAGACGAGCGTGAAGGAAGTCCCTGATCACCCTGCCTTAATTAAGGTGGAAATAAATGGCTCTAGAAACCATAATTCGTTGCGTAATTACAAGCACTTACAAGTTAAACCGATTTTCTCTTCCCACTAAGAAAATAACGTGTTATGTAATTATACATTTTTTCATATATTTTGTTGAGAATAAATGACAACTGCATTATGAATATTGTTTTTAGCATATATTTAATACGAAACAAATTATCTTATAGAAAAATATTATTGTTTAACAACATTTTATACCCATCTTGTATTTTATTCTCCCAGTTAAGTCAACGGAACCCCCCTACTTATGGAAATACAAATGTTAACATTTAAATAAAGTGAATCGAAAGGAACTTACATTGTTGATGAGAATCCAAGGGACGTAGTCAAGCCTGGGTTGTAGAGTAGCCTGCAGGAGGCCCACCTGGTGTTGCAGAAGGTGACCCTCTTGCCCCGAGTAACACTTCTCTATACCACTCCACTCCACACACGTCTCATTGGCACACTGAGATGAAATACAGGAGTCCCCGATCATTAATACACAGTACGCTGATGTTAGGGGGAAACTATTTCAAACATCATTAAATTAACTATTATATACCTAATGAACAAATCCACAAGGGCCGTGACGAGGATCCCCGACGCTGCCTTAATCGACTGAGCTACAAAGTAAAAAAGAATTGCAACCGGAAGTTCTACTGATCCTCGTCACGGCCCTTGTGGATTTGTTCATTTGCTGTGTCACGCTCTTGTGATTTCTGTGTGTAACCATTACCTAGTTTTATCATGCTTGAAATTTATAGATATTATATTTAATGGGTAACTGGTACAAAAAATAGAACGACCATTAGAAGGTCACAAGTATTTTCAACAAAGTATTTCTCTGAGAGAGAAAGAGAGAGAGAGAGAGACGTGAGATGGGCAGCCTACCACAGGCCCGGAGTCAATCCCCGAGAACCTATACATGACGCATCTTGCGAAGTCGAGAAATTGGTCACTATCGTTGATGTACTTCTTGGCACATGTTAGCATGGTGTTGGCCTGGCACTCCCTGTAGCCATGCTGGCACTTGTGGTTGTAGTCAGCACCCTCACCATATTCCTGAGAGGTTAAAGGTTATACTCTAGAGTTAAACAAGTGTCAGTGATACGTATACAACATTTTCTTAGCTTAAAATTTCTTTAAAATACAATTTCTTCTCAAAGCGTTTCTGCCCGAAACGCTTTGCGTAATAGTGGCTTTAGGTATTGTATGTACTAGCTCTATCTATAAATTCATCAATTTTTGTATCACCCCTTGTATGTATGTATTTTACCTAAATAAACATTTGAATTTTGAATTGAAAAACTTTAAATGTGTATGTGAGCCCAATACTATAATACGCAGTCCCTGCATGGAATCCGTACCGCGCTAGTCTGTTGTGGGCCTGCATCCTGGGAAGGGTCAGTAATACAGCCTTTCGGGACCTCTATATAACCCTAACATGTATATATATACACCGGCTGCCTGTCTCCCCGACGCAATGAATTATATCTAGGAACCCCTCAATTAAAACACAATCACTTCACAAATAAGTTGATCAAACTACACACTAGAAAGTGAAGGGACGACGACGTTTCGGTCCGTCCTAGACCATTCTCAAGTCGATTGTGAAAATCGACTTGAGAATGGTCCAGGACGGACCGAAACGTCGTCGTCCCTTCACTTTCTAGTGTGTAGTCTGGTCAACATATTTTAGCCACGTTATCGTGACTCCTCGTCTACACTTCACAAATAATATTTACATATACTGTAGCAATAAAAAACCAACGTTACAACGCACCACTGCCTTTCCATAGGAGTAGATGTCCAGTTCCGTGATGTTCTTGAGGTCTGGCCACGCTGGGTAGAGCTGGTTCAAGATAAAACGTCGACTGTCTGGACAGAGACTCTCGTAGAACACCAACACCTTCACCTTCACCGCCTCCTGCAGGAGAAAACCTTGATTTAAGCTTGGCCGAATATGGACTATTTGTTTTGAAACAACGTGTGCAGGACTATGTTTGAGGCTCTCTCTCTGCTGGACACTGGACAGAGGCACGGCTCTTCTTAATGTCTTTGACTGCATTGCTGGCATTGTTGGCCTTATAGTATATAAGCGTTCGATGCTTCTATTTTCTTACTCTCGGGATTAAGAAGAGCAATCAAGTTACCTATATTCACGGTAAAGAAAATAATGATAATTGAAGGGTATTTAATTTCTACAACATTTCGTTCCACTCTGGAACAACTTGAGGTAAAGAATGAATATACAAGGTGCAAATTTATCTTAACTACACATGTTAAGGAGGTGAAGTTGCGTTGGAGTTAAGGTGAAGTAATCACATAGGTGAATAAATAAGAGGGATAATAGCGGGATGGATTCCAATTAAGTTACTTATCAGGTGAGTTAGACAGTTTTCGCCTGATTCAATAACTTCTTAATCCCGAGAGTAAGAAAATAGAAGCATCGAACGCTTATATACTATAAAGCCAACAATGCCAGCAATGCAGTCAAAGACATTAAGAAGAGCCGTGCCTCTGTCCAGTGTCCAGCAGAGAGAGAGCCTCAAACACAGTTCTGCATACGTTGTTTGTGGGGAGGAGTGAGACGGCAGCAAGGCCGCACAGGTGTCTTGGGGGACCACCTGCAACACCTGTATTTACCTCGTTACGCTTCGCTTCAGGCGCCGCACCTGACCAAACTGGCTTTTTAGGTTAGTGAATCGTCCCACATCTCTTACGGGCTCACCATAGCCCGTAATACATGGCACTTCGTTCTGAGTAGCTAAATCTAAAACGACAACAACAACATCCCACAACTCAAGCACAGCACCGCTCCTGTGCCAGGCAAGTCCACTACGGGCTCACCATAGCCCGTGCTACTTGGAACATTTTTTATTTTTGTTCCCAGTAGCTGAATCTTAAACAACAACAACATCATCCCACAACTCAGACACATTATTATTAAATGTATTTAGATGTTCCTGTAGGCTCGGACGTTAGCTCTTGAGCCCCGCCTGTCGTGCATTAATTATCTCAATCATTTTATTGACAATGTTGCCAAATAATTGTTCTTCCTAATACTGCAGTGGGACATTACTGTCCGTTTCAGTAACTTATGTCAAAGTTACTGTCCATTGAAGTAACTTATAAGTACCTTCAACGGACAGTAACTATTCCTGCTTTTCACTCCAATATTCATTATACATTATGCACTTTCATTAATACATGATGTATTCATATTAATTTACATGTTATAAATAAAGTTAGAGATGAGAAGGATTTTTTATGAGAAAGATAACGTTGATAACGTTTAATGGTGAATTAACATTTAATTAACATTAAATGTTAATTCACCATCGAGAGAATGTCTGGTGATGGTTCGAGGGAAGCGAGAGGAATCTTGTGGTCGAGGTCCGAGGCTCAATATAGGAGAGGTCGGGTGGGAGAAGTCACTTTGAGTCTTAGGTAAGTCTTATGGTATTCTCAGTCCCTCGAAAAACAACTCCCACTTTACCTTGCACTTGAGCGTCATAACGTTAAGTGTAAGACGTCACTGTCACTCATGACGCAGGTGTGTGTCACTCATGACGCAGGTGTGTGTCACTCATGACGCAGGTGTGTCACCAACACTCTCACGACACATATGTATCACCTACCAACAGTGCCACACCGTAACAACACTGAGAACACACATTTAACATTTGTATTCTATACCTCGCTGTTCTCAACGAACTTTCACACATTTGTAATACACAACACAACTCACTGGTTCAGCAGAAGAGGCAATAACGCTTGACAGGTGTAGCAGCAGCAGCAGCAGCAGCAACAGGTGTGGCTTGGCACCTGCACCGCCAGACCCCATCGTGAGGTAGTGTGTGGGAACATCTGCCTCGCTCTCTCCACTTATATTGCCTGAGTGATGTCACTATATGGAGGAGGAGCCATACTAATATGTAACACTTCATAAAACGCTACTCTAATCTAATCACACATTATGTTATGTATATATGATTATATTTAAGATAATCTGTGAATCTGTGTCCAGCGTAGGTCAGATGCCTAGGGCTAGCCTAACCAAACTTTTCAGGGTGAAACACAAGGGGTGTGGGGGTGACACAGGCTAAAAAATTGTTATACGAATCTGAGATGAACAGGATTTTAAGCTGCTCGTCAACTAGTCCTCTGATGACCAAACCATGCGTCAGAAGAGGGAGATACGACAAGGTTTCGGTCCGTCATGGACCATTATTAAGTCGTGTGTGAGGAAGAGAACGACTTGAAAATGGGAAGGACTCACACACGACTCGATAATGGTCCAACATGGATCGAAAGGTCGTCGATCGAAAGGTCGTCGATCGAAAGGTCGTCGATCGAAAGGTCGTCGTTTCCCCACTTTCTAGTATGTGGTTTGGTCATTATATATTCAGCCACGATATTGCGAATTCATCGTCTGTAATTATAATCATCTCTTTGTGAAATATCCACCTACAATGTTGCTATTTAAGATTCGCTACCTGGAACAAAAAAGTTCCAAGTAGCACGGGCTATGGTGAGCCCGTAGTGGACTATGTTGTGGAAATTTCAGCTACTCAGAACAAATGTTTCAAGCAGCACGGGTTATGATGAGCCCGTAGAGGACTATTGTTATTGTTGTTGTTTAAGATTCGCTATTTGGAACAAAAAGTTCTAAGTAGCACGGGCTATGGTGAGCCCGTAGTGGAATTTTTTGCTGTTCTTAAGTCCTATTACTGAGTACTCCAAGGTGCTTCACAAATTACTATCATACAATTCTATTATCGTTATTAATTAAATTATATTAACTGTAATATTGAATGCATTTTCATTTGTTTTACATATTACATTATAATTAAGAGTCATTAATTTGCTTTTAGCTAAACTATTCATATTAAAGCTCCTCATTTATTATTGGCTTTATTAATGAAGAGTTTTGTTAGGTACGAAGATTGCTAAATCATTCTTATTTTGTAATTAGAATATGAGTAACTTTCTTGTACTATTAAGTTTATTTTAAATGGTTCTTCAAAATATTCAAATAAAGAATGATTTTGCAAAAATTTTTTTGTTTGCATTTGCTGTCGACAGATATATAATATATTTCTCGAATACTCTGCTGTCATATATACAAGAATCTTATTTTTTTTCCTATAATCTTTGAAACTTTTCAAGTTGTGTTATATATATTTTTTAATTCATTCGAAAATGTTCTTCCAAAATTGAGTTGGCGTTCAGGCTGCTCCGTAAAGTACTCGAAAAGAATAGTCGTAAAAGCAGGAAAGTCCATCAACCTGCCCATTCATCTTCTTCACTACCTCCCCCCCCCTCTCTTCCACTGGTCTCTCTGCCCCCTATTCCATCCATCACCTTGCCATTTCATCGCTTCCTCCAGGCAACTTCCCCTTCACCTGCTGCACCTCCGCACACGCCCGTTCTTGTTCATATCACACCGCTTCACACTTCTGCCCCTTTGTAAAGTCATTTCGTGTGTGCACAAGGTCGAGAAGGAAGACTGGGTTTGTGTAGCGAGGCATTTACTGCTTTAAAATCAACAAGACGACGAAATTAATTGACTCTTGACTCAGCGAAGCAGTCATATATATCCCTTCTCCATATATATTACATATCCTCCTTTTCCCAGTAAAGTGCTCATTCCCCGTATGTTCATGTTCACTGTTCGCACAGGTTCTCTGGAAATTCCATAGCTTTTTAGGAGATTATTATCTGTAAACATGTATCCCTTGTTCGGTTGATGTATCAACGCTTCTGCCTCATAATGGGAACATTTCAATCAAATACAAATACAAATACAATTTTATTTAGGTAAGGTACATACATACTGGATTTTTGACTTATAGGTAGAGCTAGTACATACAATGCCTAAAGCCATATTACGCAAAGCGTTTCGGGCATTCATTCATTCAATCATTCTGAATTTATTTTAGACTAAGCAACATTAAGGTTGAAATCCTGATTAAATCATATAATTGTTCAGATTAGGTTTTAATCTGGTAAATGCTAGTGATGGTAAAGACTAATACGAAGCTTATAAAAACTCAATGATTAGAGAATGCGTTGTATTTTGTGTACACGTTATGGAGGAAAAAGGGTTTTCAGAGAAAAAAACTAACCCAAAGAGTTTTTGATTTAGCGAAATAAACAACTCATACTTACGAGGCTAATTGAAAATGCAAGATACACTTTTAACATTTGAGCTAACAAGAACATCCTTTTATTTTTAGCAAAAGATGGAGACACTTCAACAAGTCACTAAATCTGAGATGATCCAAGCTACAGAAAAGGAATTGAGAAGTAAGTCAACTCAATCCTTTCAGTCTTCCATCCACAGTATTCGATTCTATGCATCGACTGACGTCGATGCTGCTGTCGCGAGTTCTATGAAAACGTTTGAAGAAGTTACTGAAATGTTTTTATATACAATCGAATTACAATCAGGAGATGCAAAAGTTAATACAGACTTTGACATGTATCAAGAGAAAGACTTAGGAGTTAGGACAAAAAAATCATTTAACAAGACATAATCATGGAGTAAGACAGCCTTGGCCAAGTATATCGATGTTTTTTTACCATCAATGCAAAATATAACTCAGTTTATCAAGTAAGAGAAATGTCTGAAATAATCTGTTTAAGGATAAACTTTACAAAATAACTGCGAGTGGGTTGGTTGAAAGGGAAACTCTTTTAAAGAACCAAAAACACATTACCAGAAGTGCCAGAGCTCTGCCGTTAAATAAACTGATAAAGACTGTTCCTTCGCATAAGTCACACTGCTAAGACTGCAACAGTCAACAGTATGTTAACAAAATGGTACCATCTAACACACAGATGCATTTGTGTGAGCAATGACAAATTTTTGCCGTGTTTTTAAATCAAGTTTCTTGAAGAAATTATAGTGACACTTTATGGAAAGGGCCACAGAACTGGATAAAGTGTAGTACATGGTAAATGTGAAGCAGTAGCAAAACAAATTCTTGAAATACTACATTTGGCGAGTGGCTGCGCCCCATCAGTAGAGTCAAAACAAAACACACAACTCTAGCGCGGAATTTTAGAATTTTAGGTGAGCAGGAAATTCTCCTTAAGTTTCAAAACGTCATGAAAAATGTTAATTGAAATTTTCCTCTCCTAACTTTTTCGAGTAAGCCAGAGGACTCCATTTTAATATTTTATTTGTTTTATAAAACTGTCCCTTTACCTTTTTTATTTCCTTGCAATTGCCTAAATGAATTCTAGCATTCATTTGTAAACATTGCTACGTTTACTCACTCACTAGTCTCTCTCTCTCCCTCCCATTTACATTAGATACAGTAGTGGGCTTCGGTAGACCTCACTTCTTATATTCCTCTTGCTCAAAATCTCTGGCTGTGAACGTTTGTTTTCTGTCCTGCAGGTATTCCTTTAACTAGGTCACAGTCTTCCCAGTTATACCAGTTAACCCAGTTACCTTTCCATCGTGTATACCACAGTCTTTCAAGAAGAACAGTATTAAAGGTTGTTCGAAAGCCTAGGCAAATACAGACTATTTTCATCATACCCATTTAAGACTGGGTTATCATACCCATTTAAGACTGGGTTATCATATCCGTTTCAGACTGGGTTGTCAAACCCATTTAAGGCTGGGTTATCATATCCAATTTCAGACTGGGTTATCATATCCAATATTAGACTGGGTTATCATATCCAATTTCAGACTGGGTTATCATATCCAATTTCAGACTGGGTTATCATCCCCTTTTCAGACGGGGTTATCATACCCAGTCTTCCTTTTCATGGCCATTTTTTGTAACCTCGTCAAAGAACTCGATCAAGTCTTTCTGGAAACGACGTATCCATCCTCTAAATCCATGCTGCCCTTTCGTTACAAAGTTAATCCTCTCATGGTGATTCATTAATCTGAACCTAATTACTTTCTCCAGCACTTTACACGGCATGATTGTCAGTGACGTTGGTCTGTAATTTAGTGCGTGTGTGTGTGTGTACTTACCTAATTGTGCTTGCGGGGGTTGAGTTTTGGCTCTCTGGTCCCGCCTCTTAACTGTCAATCAACTGATATACAGGTTCCTGAGCCTACTTGGCCTACTGTGTGTGTGTGTGTGTTCATCTCTTTGTACCTGCAGGATCGAGCTTTAGCTCTTGGACGCTGCCTTTCTAGCTGCCGGTTGTCTAATTCAATGACTCCTGACCTATTTCCCTATCATACCTGCTTTTTTATGTTGTAAATTGAGTTTACCTCTACAACCTGCTCCTTTAGGTCTTTCCATTTATTCACTATCCGTACCCTAAGAAGAAAATTTTCTAACATCTCAAACTTTTCTTGTTCTATTGATATTCATTGCGCACGTGTGCATATGTATGTAGATACTATTTGTGCCTGCAACATCGAGCTGTTAGCTCTTGGAACCCGCCTTTCTAACCATTGTGTAATATACTGACTCCCGACCTATTTTTCCTCTGCCACCTCTACTACATCTCTCTATCTCTCTCTCTCTCTCACGCACACACACACTCACCCAGAAAACAGCCCGTAGCAGCTGTCTAACTCCCAGGTGCCTATTTACTACACAGTACACAGGGACATCAAGTGAAAAACTCTTCTCATTTGTTTCTGCCTAGACTGGTAAGCGAAACCGGGCCCTAAGAACAACGACCCCCGAGAAAAGTTCTTTTGACTGCGAGGACCTGTGTGAATTTGTGTACTCACCTAATTGTGCTTGCAGGGGTTGAGCTCTGGCTCTTTGGTCCCGCCTCTCAACCGTCAATCAACAGGTGTACAGGTTTCTGAGCCTATTGGGCTCTATCATATCTACACTTGAAACTGTGTATGGA